ATGAAAAATAAAACTTAAAATTTTTTTTTTTCTTTTTCCTTTTCTTTCCTTTTCTCTTTCCCCTTCCCCTTCCCCTTCTCTTTCCCCTTCGAACCCCAGGGGTGGCCTGGGTTCGCTGCTGGGTTCCACTGAACCCAGCACTTGGGTTCGATGCCCAGCATGCCTGGGTTCGATGAAACCCAAGCGCTAGGTTCCTTAAGACCCAGCCTTGGGTTCCAAAAAAAAAAAAGAAATTTCTGTTTTCTTTGTTTAGGTTTTGTTGTTTGATGATATGAGAAATTGATTGATGAAGATGAAGAAGGCAAGGCAGCCGTTGGGTTTTTGCAGGTGGATGAAGAAGGCATAGGTGCTGGGTTCGATTTCGAACCCAGCAAGCAATCGAACCTAGCATCGAACCCAGCAGCCGTTGGGTTCTTGTAGGTGTTGGGTTCGATTTCAAACCCAGCAGGCACTGTGTTCAAGCTGGGTTCTTGCAGGTGCTGGGTTCGAAGGTGTTGGGTTTGATTTCGAACCCAGCAGGCACTGGGTTCTGTTTCTAACCCATTGATCTGTTGAGTTCCATTTGTTTATTGATCTGTTAAGTTCCATTTGTTTCAAACTCAGCAGTCGTTGGGTCGATGGATCTGTTGAGTTCGATTTATTGATGAATTTGTTATCTGTTGTGTTATCCTTATATTCTTGTAGGTGCTGGATTCGATTTCAAACCTAGCAAGCGTTAGGTTTTCTTTCCAACCCAACTGCAGTTGGATCGAAGGATCTATTGATTTCTATTTGTTGGGTTGTTGTGTTATTCTCGGATTTAATATTAGGAAATGTTAGGGTTTGCAGAAGGTGAAAGGAAAGGGGGAGGAAGAAGAAAAGGAAAAAAGAAAAACAAAGAAAGAAAAAAAAAAGAAAATTTTTAAGGTAATTTCTTGCCATCTCATTTTTTTGCCACGCTGTACGTCTTAGGTGTCAAAATGTTTTAACATGTCATCCTTTTCTCCGTCAAGTAACAAGACATGTAGGCAGGTATTTAACGGAAAGACCAAATTGGGGTTAAAATGGTAAACAGTAAGGATCAAATCAGGAATTTTTTTAGTTTAGGGACCAAATCGGGGGTCCGTACAATAGTTCAGGGACCAAAATGGGGTTTTAACCTTATAATTATTAATCAATAATAATAACAGAAAACTTTGTTAGGGATTTTTGTTAAGAAACAAAAACAAAAAAGAAACAATCAAGAGGAATTTTTTTTTTTTTTTTTACAATGAGCAGTGCTTAAATACTAATTAATTTGAAAGTTATAATAAGTCTACACACTCC